TTCACAATGAGATTAACCACCCTGACTCCACTGACAATCCCAGCTGGAAATCCCAGAGCAAGTGAACCTCTCCTGTCAGACTGCCCATCCTAGTTGGGAGGGCAGAGCATCCCAGGGTCCATCTTCACGTCAGTAAGTTAAAATTACTTGCATAGAAGCTAGCACCGCCTGAGTGAGCCTGGCTGGAGGAAGAACAGTACAAAGTACTGACAGACCCACAGTATTATGAGCTCCAGCACATCAGTGCTCTGGCTTTGACCCTCAAGAGACCAGTGAGCACAGAGGGATGTCACCAGGAGTCACTCCAGCACGTGGGGACCAGGCTTAGGCCACAGGCCAGGTTAGAAAAAGGCTTCAAAAGGTGGGAGCAACAACAGGGATGGAAACTTCACTGGCTGCTGCAGGGCTGGTGCACACACAGCTCTTCTCATCACCCGGGCCCAATCCTGAAGCTTTCAGCAGGGAGGGGGGCAACAATTGCTGACCCTGCAGTCAGGAAGGAAGACACATCGTTGGGGAACTTGCTCTTGGTGGGAAGTGTAAAAATGAAGGGCCGGTTCCCCGAGGGGTGTAAAGCAACAGGTCACTGATCTTGACCTGGGCACTTCCAGTTTACACCAGCTAAAGATCTGGCCCCAATAGGAAACTCTCTTGTGGGCACCACCTCCAACAGACATGGCCCACAGCTTTACCTCCAGCCTACTAGCATCAGGCATGTAAGGGGAAAAATGGCTCAAACAGCAGTGGTGTGACCAGGGTGTAAGGGACCAGGCAGAGGCACTACTCCCCCGCAGCATTCTGTGAATGTGCAAAAGGGGCGTGACTTACACGCATGGCCAGAAGCGCAGCTCACTGGAGGGTGCGACTTGACTCGGAAGAGACCAACTGCATTCTGCAGCCTCCTCCAAGTCACTTCCCTGCTGCCTCACCTGGACCTTCAGCCCAGTTCTGGTGTCAGGTAAGTGCTTCCCCCTGAGAGCTGTTCCCCCTGACTGCAGAAGCACCACTAGCCCTAGGGTGCCTCACCCCAAGAGAAGGCCTCCAGTCACACCCCAAATGAGTAGTCTATACAGCTACTGGAGTGCCCCAAAATAAGGCCTCTCTCACTCAATAGTTGTAGCTGAATCCCATATGCATAGGAACCAACTTTTATTTTTTCTGGGGGTGGGGAGGGGCCTAAGATGATGTCCCCCCACAACCTCTCCCATGGCACAGCTGGAGCAGAGCCGAGCAGAGTCTGTGGCAAGGACGGTGGCGGATGCAGGCTGCCTGCTGCGGGCTCAGGGCTCCCCACCCTGCTACCCTCCCCCTAGGAGCTGCGCACTAGCGACATTGCCTTGGCAAGGCAGCAGCGGGGGGCACAACTCCACACCGCCACTCCTGCTGCTGCTGAGCAAGCAGGGGGCACCACAACATGGTGGTGGGGCCGGCGCAGGGCTCCCAGGGGAAGGGTAGCAGGGCAGGGAGCCCCAAACCCACAGCAGGCAGACAGCATCCACGCCTGCACCATGCACAAATCTTGGGGATATGTGATCCCCACATTCCTCCTTCCCAGCAGTGCATGCAGCAGCAGGGAGCCACCCCCCGCCTTCCCCCACCTCCTGGGCAAGTTGTCTGTGGCTCTCCTGCTCTCTGCCCCAGTCCATGGCCCCAAGCAGTGCCCTAGCTGGGCAGCACCCCCAGGCCCAGCCTCTGCCCCACTTCCTCTCTCACCAAGGGGGCCTCAATCTGCCCTGTTCCCCATAGACCTCCCTGCTGCCTGAGGCTGTCTTCATGGCCATGTGAATACTCACTCAAATACTCATACAATACTGGGAATCCAGGACAAACACTGTCCTACAGTCATGCAGCCCAGGACTGGAACCTGATGTTCCCATTTCAGGACTGCCCCACCCAGTTAGGGATGGGTGGTCACCCTACCCTTTTGCTGAGGGGGGCCAGGGCCCTTGGACCCCTACATACTTGACACCTATGCCCATATGCGTCCTTCACATTAACCCTAGCCTCCTCCCTCCCTTCATGCTCTCCTTGTGACTTTGCACCACTGGTGAAACGCTGAACACAAACACCAGCTCCAGCTGGACAGTACACCTCTCACATGGCCCAAATACCATTCATGTACTAGGCCCTGCAGCAGTCAGCTAGTGCAAGGCATTTGCCTCTCTGCTTGCTACACTGAAGTGACAGGGAAGCAACATGCACTGGGTGGATAAGCGCATGGCAGCCAACTCGTGTTCATTATTTTTCACTTCCCTGACCACATGATCAGCAGCTGGGTCCAGTTTGGGTTGGGTTTGACAGTGGTGGGAAATGCTGCCCTATCAGGAGCCCTAATATGGCTTAAGATGGGGCAAACAGCAGAGCTCCACTGGAGTCTAATGGGCAGCCCTACAGCTGGTGTGAACCAACTCAGCTCTGCTGGGATTCAGAGGCAAAGCCCAGACTAACATCAATCAGCAAAGCTCCCCTGAAAGCAAAGGGCCAGACTCTTACCTAGCATAAATCGAAGTGTTCAGTTGGCTTCAGGGGGCTATTCCAGCTTTTACCCAATGAGGATCAGAATTTCACCCCTGGCCCATCAAGGGCTCTCTGGAGGTCATCAAGGAACTGATTTACCCATCAGCAAAGCAGGCTGAGTAAGTGCAGGTTGCTCCTGGTGAGGGACACCCCAGCTCCCCCAGGGGTGGCCTTCTGGGCTGCACCTGCAGTAACAGGGATTTGGGCAGGGAAAGGCAGGGGGCAAGCTGGACAATAGGAAGATCTTCCCCTTGCTTATGCTGCATTGGAATCTGCCTATAAAAGGCCTCCACCTCACAGGCCCCATGAGGGAACCTCAGGCACCAGGACACACAAGGCACAGGGTACCTTATCACAATCAGGTCCTGATGGCCAGTCACCTCCAACAGCACCCTTCAAGCGTCCCAAATTGTGTCTGAGAAATCTGTTGTTGGAAGGCATCTCTACTGCCAGCAGGAAGCAGAAGGACTGGGCATCAGGCTTCCACTGGAACATCCTCAGTCACTATCCCTGTACACCAGGCATTTGTGAGTCAGCTGCACTGATGATCTGTCACTGGAGATGCCAAGCTGTGATTTGCCCAGATGGCAAATGTAAGACTGTGACAGAGTGTACCATACCTGGATCTTATACCTGGACCTCCAGAAAAGTAATTTCATACTCTACTTGAGTGGGGGGGGAAGGGGAGTCCTGCCCTTTAATAGTAACAGGGAGAGAAGTATGAAATGCTGTGGCTAAAGATTCACTACCACTGGTGCAACAGCATGAGGAGCGCCAGCTTCTGATGCCCTGGTGCTAAGCAGCTGCCTCGTGGCATAGAGAGGGGTGGTCCAACATGGATTTCCATAGCAGAGCCCTGGAGATGCAAAGTGCTATTTTAAATGCCTATGATAAAACCAGAACATAGGTGCGTTCAATTTAGCAAAGGCTCTGGCTTCATCCTCAAGGGGAACCAGCCGTGCTGATCAGCACTGGTGCCCCCAGCATACAGAGCAACCCTGCATGTACAGATGGCAAGTACTCAAAGCAGGGATTTTTTCTGGGCCAGGTTTCCAGACTGTTTAAGTGCTGCAGGTGCCAGGCTGGATGCAGAGCCTTTGGAAAATCGGCCCACAAGCATCACAGAGGCACTGCTGGGTTCTCTGGACTGAGTGCCTTGGATACTCTGGCCTTAATTGCAAGTCCAGCCTGGGCCATCTCTGCACCCTGCAGTGTGGTTAACTCTCAGCTTGAAACCTGGCAGAGATGGCAAAGAGACATGGATAAACAGAACTGGGAGGGACTTCTCAATTGTCTAGTCCAAATCCCTAGCCAAGGGGAAGTCTTTGTACAAACCATCCCAAACAAACACTTGTGTAACTTGTGCTTGAAAATTTCCACTGCTGGAGATACTACAGCCCCTCTCAAGGATTGTAAGAGAGCCTGGGGCTCTGCCACTTTAAAGGAGAAACAGCCCAAGGAGAGCCCTGGGGGACAGGTAGGATGCAGCTAGTACTGGGTTGCCAGAGAGATGAACCAAGGCGATTAATTAGCAGGTACTTGCAAGCAACCCAAATGAGTCACCTGACCGGAAAGGGGCAGTGCCCTGGGTGAGAGAGATAAGGCAGGACCAGAGCTAGGGCAGGAAACCTGACCATGGAAGTTGGGCAGGGACAGAGGTTTTTGGAGGTGCCTGTAACTGGGAAGCAAAGTATGAGTGTGCCAGGCCCTGAGACAGTTGGGGCAGCTGAGGTCTAGCAGCTGATTAAGACCCAGGTTGGGTAGAAGTTTTGTTATAGCCAGAACAGCTTGTGTTTGGTTTCAGTTTTGTCTGGCCCCAGGGGGGACCAGCAGGGTCTGGGTCTGTGGTCTAGTGCCTGGTGATTTGGGGGGACTGTTAGGGGTGGCTTGAAGGTCCCAGAGTGCATAGTGGGGTGCAGCAATCACAGTGCCTGTGGGGGGACACCCAGCATGCCCACAGGGGCAATCTTATAGAGCCTGTGAGAGGTGATCCCATAGCACCCGGGAGGGGTGAAGTAGCCTTGGAATAGATAGGCCTAGGGACTGGGGCCAGGAAGCCCAGAGCCCAAAGAGGGGCAAGAGTTGGATTTAGGGGCCAGAGGGCCAAAGGCCCAGAGCAGGGCAGACAGGTCCTGGGGCCCAGGTAGAGAGAGACAGAGAGCCCAGGGAGGCTCAGCAGCCTGAGAGAGGGCACAGATAAAGGCCTTGGAAGGCAGACAAAAAACTGGGAAGGCCGAAGCTCGTTTGGTCAGTGTACTAGGGCTAGAGGGCTCAGCGAGAGCAAAATGACCAGAGGCCAAGAAGGCCGAAGCCTGACATGGGAACAATGACAGGATCTCTCTAGGTCCCATGGGCAGCCTCCCTCCTTTCCTAATAACAACATCAAAGGTGTGGCGGGGGAGCAAAGGAGGTAACGGCCCCTCGAGTTAGAGG